TCCTGGTGAGTCCTTCCCATCAGGAAGCAGCAGACCCACAGTAAACTTGGGGAACATTCACACACCCACAAAATCCTCCCTTGTGGTTCCAGCCACACCTGTGGGGACACTGGGCTAGTTCATGCTCCATCCCCCTGGGGCAGCTTGGCGGAGCTGTAGTACTGGCTCCCAGGAATTCTCTTCATGCAGCAGCTTCTCTGCCAGATGCTGACCTCTGTCAACTGCCCGTTCCCCTCTGGGAGACAGCCCAGTGCAGATGAGCCCCATGCCCCCCGGGCTGGCCCATGAAGGCCACAGGAGTGTGAACTCCTGTTCCAAGCTCTACATCATGCAGAGGTACTGACAATCCCATGAGCTCCTGGCTTTCAGTGTGGGCTGTAGCCACCGGGCTGGTCCTAGAAAGAACCACACCCGAGCTGGCTGCAGGGTGCCACTCATGGGCCCTGCCTTTGATGCATCCTGACTGTTCCCCCATCATTCTGGCCACTGTTCTCTGCGCAGACCCTTCCCAGCCCTGTCCCCAGACCCTCTGCTCAGTGTGGCCAGAGCCTTTCATCAGCAAGCATTTCACTGAATCTGGGTCATTATGGCTCATCAAATTCTTCTACTTATTCTACAATCCAGTTGCAGCCCCAAACCCCCGTGCCCAGGGCCCAGCCTCTTATAAAGCACAGGGCTGCCTCTTTGGTTCAAGGAAACGTGCTTCCCGCTGTGCAGGTCCCCGGCCACTTTGTAAGGCTGTGAGATCAGCCTTCTGGCCTCCAGGCAGACTTCCTGCCTGGGCTCTGGTCGCGTCCATCTCTGTCCACCTCTGTGCCAGGCTTCCTCCCAGGACAGCTTGCAGGGCTGGGAGCCCATCGAACTGCAAGTGTTGCATTCACTTTGCCAAGAAAATGCTTATAAATTCTGGTTGTGACCCCCACGTCCCCTGGCACCGCACCGTCCGTGCTGCAGGGTCCCCCTCTCGCGGTCTGGGTGGAGGCTTGCTTGAGCTGCTCTCTCAGAGCCCATGTAGGTTCTCTTCACCTCTGGGGTTTCCTGTCTCGGGGGCCCCCTCCTCAATCATGTGGGCCGCTAATGGGGCCCCGAGGATGGCTCTTGGAGTTGGGGCCTCCCAACGTGTCCCCTGACCTAATACCAAAGGGAAGCAGCAAATTTATGAACCGTCCACTTGAAGCCATGTTTAGGATTTCTGTTTACCTCCCAAGTGTCTGGAAAGGCGGCCTTTCAAAGGCCCTGTGTGAGCAGAGCTCCAACTGATTTGCCAGAAATGTGCATGTCGAATAACAGAGAATCTACAATGGCAGTTGCAGTGGGCATCATGCGGGAGAGTTAATTAATCCTGACACCAGATACCGACGCCGCGGCAACAACAGTCGTAAGCGAGCTGAACCGTGTGGTGTTTCAAGTCAGGCAGCTGGAGGGCTGTTCCCTGGCAGGATTCTCTGGGCCTGAATTCTGCTGTGGATTCAGTGCCCCCGCGAGGGCCTGCCCTCCCTTCTGTACTGGTTCCAAAGGCAGTGGGGGAGGGGAGCTCTCCGGACTCCGGGGAATCCAGTCCTCAACATGCTGGCAGAAGGAGCCTTCGTGGAATCTTCCAGGCTCCTGGGGCTCTGTATTTCCCGCCTCCCCTGGGAAGCTGCAATACAGGACAAGCTACCCTCCTTCTTCCCCAGATAACTTGTGGGTGGGCCAGCAACTTGGAAAGCAGAGGGTTTAAGTCTTATGGGGACACTTGTCTACTTCATTGTGTACCAATCCTGGGGCTTGGTAAGGACGAGGAGGTTATTCCAAAAAGGGCTGTGTAGGGGTGCCGGGGTGGCTCAGTCATTAAGTGTCTGCCTTCGGCTCAGGTCATGATCCCAGGGTCCTGGAATCGAGCCCCGCATCAGGCTCCCTGTTCTGCCGGAGCCCTGCTTCTCCCTCTGCCACTCCCCCTGCTTCTGTTCCCTCTCTCGCTGTGTCTCTCTGTGTCAAATAAATAAAAATCTTTAAAAACAAAAAACCAAAAAGGGCTGTGTGTTACCAGAAGAGCAGGTGCTGGGATTTCTGTCACAAGTGGCCATGAGAAACAGGGGAAGTGACCTGGCCCTCGATGCCTCCAGAGAGGGCAGAAAGAGGAGGGGGACATGTGTGTGGCAGAAATAGGAACAGCCAGGCCATACCTGGCTGAGAAGAGAAGTCTGGTTGTTCCAAAGTATAGGTGATTCTGTGTTCGTTCGAGCTGCTGGAACGGGAGCGGGCCCTCCCTGGATGTCCGTGGCTAGGTTGGGGGACTCAGGGCCAACAAGAACCAGCTGACCCCCAGGGGCCTTCCCAGGTCTCTGTGCTCCATGACTTTGTTGGTTTTTTTGAAGGTGAACTGTCTGTCCAGAGGCACAGTTCACCAAAAATAACACAACCCTGCTTTTGCCAACGCGAGTGAGGGGCCCCGAGAGGGCGGAGAGAGGGCACTGCTGCATGGCCAAGAAAATTCATATTTTTCTTTGGAGGAAATGGAAAGTGGTGCTGGGTCTAAGTGGTAGGTGACCTTGCTATTGAGTTAAAATGCTGCTGGGGAAATTAGAGAAGACAAACATGAAAAGAATGCTAATGAGTAGTGGTGGACCAGAGCCCGGAGCCCTGATTCCTTCACCATCCACGAGGGGTACTTGTGTGCTGCCTATAAATAGACACTTAAAAACCGATTCTAAATTGAGTTAAGATGTGGGCCCGTTTCCTCCTATGGAAAAGCATTATGTAAAGTGCAGAGCTCTGCCCTTTCTCCCAAGGCAGCGTGACGATTCTGTGCCTCTGTGGGGAATCTGTACGGGGCATGTTAGGGACACTCAGGCTACAGATGAATGAGACTCTTGTCCTTTCAAGAGACTCGCAGACTGAGGGCAGGGAGAAGAAGAGCTGTGGCTCCTTCCTCCAGATGGAGCAACAGGGCAGGCCTCCCCTCCAGGGCGGGGAAGCCCAGCTGAGCCTGTAGACTAGCTCTGAGTTTCCCTCGGGTGCTTCTGGTTTGGGAGGAAGTGGGAGAAGCTAGATCTGTGGGCACGTGGTCATTTCCTTGGGCCCACCGTGGCTCTGGGTGATGCGGGTGGCTGTGGACCTGAGAGAGGAGGGGAGAACACAGGGGACAAGTGGGGAGAATTCTAGCCTATGCTGGCAGTCCAAGGCTTCTGGGCTCTTCCCTGCAGCCCCCTTGGTCAAAATTGCCCAGAGCTGGAGTAGGGGATTCTGGGAGAGGACAGAGGTCCTTCTCACTAACCTGCTTGAGTTCATAAGAGTAAGGAATCGAGGCCCTGTCTTAGGACCACCAGGGAGGGGTTCTTGCCTCTGGACATAGCATTTAGGGTGTGTGCCGACCCTGACATCACTTCTTTTTGGAGGTCCTGGGATGGTGGGGTTTGGGGATAAAATTTGGGGATAAAGAAGGAAATACTGTTTGATGCTAGTGAGTTCCCAGGCAGTGTTTTGGAGGCCTTGTGGCATTCACCTTCCCAACCAACTTTGAGAATGATCTTCTTGTCCATGCTTTACATGTGATAAAACTGGGGCCAGTGGTGTAAAGGGATTGGAAAGGCAACAGAAGCACCGCACCTTTGGAAGAAATTGAACAGCTATGTGGATGGATGTCAGTTTGCCCCTGAGCAGAGGCAAGCAGATTACACATATACAAAAGGCTTGGTCAGGATGGAAGCATCTTCAACCTTCTAAGGGAGAGCCAATCTTTTTTTTTTTTCCCCCCAATCTTTTTTTAATTATCTGGACTAGAGGTGTCTGTAGCGGGCCAGTTTGGGGTGGCAGGAAACTCCCCCAAATTCCCTGATTAAAACCCACTGTTAGCAATGTCTATCTAGGGAAATGAGAGCGACTGTCAGGTTTCGTTAAAAAAAAGTGTCAACACTGGGTTCAGGAGAGACCTGTGTGATAAAGTAGAAACCTTTGTCTGCCTGTGCCAATAGCAAGACCATATTACCTTCCCCCCAAGAATGATGTCATTCCCTGTGATTTCAGACCCCAGGACCAGACTGAAAATGAACTGTCCAACCAGCACAGCTATTCATGAAATGCTCTTAGACCTTCTGTTCCCAGTAGCTGAGGCCCCTGGGAGGAGGCCGCCATTGGTGTGGTTCTGAAAAGAACAAAGACATTCCTTTATAATGCCTTGTGTCTTTGGCCAAATTGGAGGGAGAAAGGAATTTTTTTTTAAATTTAAATTCTATAGTTAACATACTGTTTTATATTGGGGAAAAAGAGGAATTTGGATGTGATGTTTAAGACCAATAAATCCCCCTCCTCTTCACCACCCCAGGCTTCCCGCTCTCTGGCCATCGGCTGCCCCACCTCGAATTCCTGATCTAACCCAGGGTCTCACCTTGAGCCCTGGAACATAGAATATAAGGGACTTCCTCTTCACTTTTCATCTGCAAAGCTTTTGCTGTCCAAGTGGAGTACGAAGCCTGATGGCCTCTTTTCTGTTCTCTTTGTGAAGCCCCCTTGCCCAAGAGGAAGGGTGAGAACGGTGAACTTGGGCAGAGGAAATGCACGGTGGCCCGGTTTTCTTTCTCTTTGCTTTAATCTCTCTTCACCCCCCTCCAGCTCCCACAAGCACACCCACCTCCTTCTGAAAGTGTCCCAGAATACCGGCTCTGCACACTGGTGGGGTCAAGCTTTGTTGTGGGGAAATACATATTCATGAGGGCTTTGAGGAGCTTCATTAAAATGCGGAGAGTCTCTCCTTCCGGAGGGATACACAAGCCATGGCTTTATTTGCCCAACACCACACTCTTAAGGCAATCATTATGTGAGGAATGGCTAAAGAAACATTTTAATTATTTGTTTCTGGTAATTTGTGATCATCTCATTAGAATTATAATTGGTTCACTTTTCCAGGTAATTCAAAACCTCTCACTCCTTCAGATGTCTGTATTTGAAAGGGCTCTGTATGAACACCCATGTGTTTCCGGAAACCCAAGTAATTTCTTCTCTTTCCTTCTGTTTTATTCCAGAAAGATTTCGTCACCAGAAGGTTTGGGGGGACATTACGAAACCACTTGTTTTCGGTAAGAAATCTTACCTTGCATGGAGTGAGGTTTTGCTTCGGACATGTGTGAAATGGAATTGTTTTACTCGAGGGACGTGACCTTTCAGGTGGAACTGGGCATTTGCCACAGTTCCTTATTTTCTGGGAAGCTGTGGATGTGTAATTCAGCGCTCGTCTGCCCACAGGGGGCCTGAGGCTGGGACTTGATTCTCAGCCAAGGAACCCGTGAGCACGGGGCTGTCTGCGGGCACTGATGTTGCCTGGAACGGGCACCTTTCCCCGCCGCCACCCCCAAGACAATGGCAACATCCCCCTCTCCCGTACGTGCCCTCCTCTCTATACTAGTGCTTGTGAAAACCGTAGTCCTCACCGGATTCAGGCACTTGTTTGTGTAACTCCTACCTTGATTCCGATTTATACCAAAAGTAGCTAGATATCACCAACAATAAATGCCGTGCACAACCCACCTTGCAGTATTAAACTGGGGGAATGTTTTGAGCCTAACTAGAAGTGCACCCCCGTGAGATACCAGGACACTGAGAGGAAGAATTTAACTTGGATCAGAAAGAACCCTCCGAAGCTGCTCAGGGAGGAGGGACAGCCGGTGTTGCTGTTGCCCCCCGGGGGAAGCTAGATTGCAGTCCTGATCGAACTGGCCCACGGTAGGCACTCAGCTTGCTCTTGTGAGTAGGACCTACAGCAGCAGATCTGCATGGGTCTTTGTAGCCCAGGTGTCCCCTGAGTGTCTGCGATGAGGGACGCTTGCAGGAGGCGTGTTCTGATTGAAAATGAGTAGGTGCTCTTTCTCCTGGGCTAAAGAGCCCCATTGGCTTGGTTGTGGGGTCACTGGTGTTAGGAGATGGGGTATGTTTGGAGAATGGCGTGGAGGGTAGACTCTTGTTGGAGGTGAGGAAGCCGGGCCAGGAGTGGTCTCTGTGTCTCCATGCCAGAGCAGATCTGAGCTTCTGATGGATTCCCTGGGTATATGCGTTTGTGGGAGGGAGTGCTGCTGGCCTTGGCTAGGCCTGCTCTGGGAGTCAGCAGTCCAGAGCATCACAGATAGGAAAGTGGCTTGGGGACTTCCAAAGGAAAGGAAGATTTGGGGTTTCCCAGTGGGGAAGCTCTGTGCCAATTCTGAGGGTAAAGATGAAGACTAGCAGGGGCAGGGTTGGGATACCAGAGCGTCAAAACCTGGGTCTCAAACCGCTGTCTTGCCTCTGGGGTGGCAGAGGGGTCCCAGAAGTAGTTGGGACTGCTGTTTGGGCTTCCTGCAAGAGGCTTCTTTGGTAAGTCGATGCAAATGCATTGATCTCAATTTCTAAAGCAGCCTCTGTCCTACCTGTAGGTCCCCGCCCATGAGCACGCTGCTGTGCATGGGCAGGAATTCACCTGCCATCGTACTGGGGGGTGTTCTTGTCACAGATGTCCTGGATGCATTCTGCAGTGGGTTTACGGGTAGGGAAGAGGACGCATTCCTAAGACATTTAAGAGTTGGAACAATCAGCCCCTCTCCAAGGAAGCAGAGGGTGAAATGTCAGTGGAGTTGCTTGACTGTTAATGTGTTTGGGCATAGGAATAAAGGAGCAGTTTTCTGAACTTGTCCTCGGCTGTTGGTCTTTAAAGTTCATGAATTTACTTCGGTGCCCTCAACGAGGCCTTTTCCATCCTGTTTAATTTTAGACTCGTAAACATTCGTCGGCCTCAAATAGAGGAGGTGCGTCACCTGCCTTCAGCTGTGACAATGCTGAAGAGTTTGGGGGGATTCTGGGAAGGGAGGAGATTTCGTGGGTAACCAGCAGTAAGGATAGCTTGTAAAGAGGGAGGTTCTTATGGGGAAGGGGTCTCACAACTGCAGTGAAATTCCCATCTTCTGGGAGCCCCCAGTCAAAGGGCTGGTGCAGTCCGTAGGTCCTCTAGGAGCTGTCCACCGTGAAATTGGCTTCTTGAAGTTTATCTAAATGAAATTGGCATTGTCGTGGCTTTCTGATGGAGCCACGGGGCAATTCTGTGTTGTGCCTCTAAGGTATAAGGTATTTTTTTCCTCTGAGCCCAGAAAAGACCTAGTGGGATCTTTATGTATCCTGAAATACTATTAGAGTATCAAAATCAGCTGCAGTAGGCAAGCCGTCTCACTCTCTTTCCGGTTGCGCTCACCCGTCTACGGTGTAATGGGACTGCCGTTTAAGTGAATGTACTCATCATAATTCTCACCAGCTTCCCTGCAGAAGAGCATATTTCTTCTGTGAGAGAAAAGTGGCAATGAGATGGATATTTTTAAATGTCAATTATGCTAGAATGGATCTGTGTGAGGAGAGCTGCAGAGAGAAGAGACCCGGGTTTATTAATTTATTTTTTCTACTGCAAAAGAACTATTCTGTAACATCAGAATACCAATACCCAGAGTCTGTGCCTGGCATTTCCTCATAGAAGAACTTGGGGAGTATGCTTCCACCCTCGGGAAAAGTTTGGGACTGTGTTCTATTCCCCCCACCCCAGGAGAATTAAATCCTTCGCCTCACTATTGTATGGTATCAATCCTACAGGATGTGTGACTTGGAATTACAGTCGACCCTTGAACAATGGGAGGTTAGGGGTACTGACCCTCACATAGGTGGAAATTTGATTCTACAGAAACTTCACTATGAATCCCCTACTGGTGACTGGAAGCCTTTGTGATAACTGAAACATTCGATTAACAGATATTTTTTATGTTATATGTGCTATATACTATATCCTTATTATAAGCTAGATAAAAGAAAATGTTACTAAGAAAATCATAAGGAAGAGAAAGTACGTTTACAGCACTGTGGTATATGTATTTTTTAAAAACTACGCATGTGAGTGGTCTCCCATGTTGTTCAAGGGCCAACTATATATAAATTTAGTGATTTCCTGAAGAAATGGTGGGAGAATTAATAAGCTATGTTTAAATCATGGGACGTCTCAGAAAATATGTTAAGTTAGAAGACATTGCGTTCATGGAAATGGCTCCCTGATATGTCAGCATGCTCTTACACGGAAAAGTGCTATGTAAAATCTGACCAAGAGTCATCCTAAAGTATAAGATCCAAAGAAGGCAGTGAAATTCCCAGCTACTAGACCTTAAAAGAAAACACAATGCTGGAATGTTAAGGGGAAGCTGGCATAAGGGTGAGACAATGAGATTCCTGATGGATGTTATTTGTGTAGGGTGGTATTTGTGGTATTTGTGTAGGGAGGACAGAGGGATGGGTGGGACAGGATAGTGAGCCTAATAAACTCGCACATGCAGGACATGGGAGGTGGCAGAGATGTGTTATTGATCCAGTGGGGAATGATGGAGGACGAATGGTTGTCCACATGGGAAGAGAGAAAATGAGATCCCTACCTCACATCATACACACAAGTAAATGCCAACAGAATTAATGACAACGAAGGACAAGATAGTAAAATGTATAGAAGAGATTTTCTGTATGCCCTTGAGGTAGGACAAGGTAAGGCACCCACACAGAGGTACAGAAAAGGCTGATTAACTAAACACCAATATTAGCAACTTCTTTAAGAGCAGACACACTATGCAACGTTAAAAGGGAAGTATTACCTGAAGTAAATATCTGAGATAACTTTACTATACGGGATTAGCATTCTGTCTGTATAAGGAACTCTTTCAAATCCATTAGAAAAGAGACAATGTAATTTTAAAAATGAGCAAATAATATGAAGAAGAAGGAGGTGGGATGATAATGATGGGGAAGCCCGAAGGGTGTATCCATGGATGTTAAGTTACTGCCTACGCTTGCTCCTGTGTACTTGAAAAAACTGATAAAGAAGAGGGTCTGTGACCCACCTCGCTCTGTGCCCACACAAACCTCTCTGCTCTTGTGTTGTGTGTCCCTCTGGCAAGGGTGATCCTGCTCCTACTTACTAGCTAATCCTCTAACTCAACTGGAGTTACTGGCTTCCTAGGCTCACCTTTTTATAGATGGTTCTGCATTCGTGTCATTGAAATGGTTAAGACTTCTTTTTTTCTTCCCAGCTTTATTGAGGTAAAACCAGTAAGCAAAAAAACCACATCGTGTACACAGTTTGTTGAGTTTAGACATAGGCGTACATTCATGTTACTATCACCACGATTCAGGTAATGAACTTATGCATCACCTCCAGAAGCTCCCTTGTGCCCCTTTGTTTTTTGTTTATTTTGCAGTAAGAGCACCTAACCTGAGATCTGCCTTCTTAAACATTTTCTGAAGTACAGTCCTGTACTATAACTGTAGGCATTACAGTTCGCAGAGGTTCTCTAGAACTTAGTCATCTTGCCTAATGGAGACTTCCCACCCATTCAGCAGCTCCGCACTCCCCCCTCCCCTCAGCCCCTGGCAGCCACCATTCTACGTCTACTTCTGTTCCTTTGAGGACTTCAGATATAAGAGGAATCACGCAGTATTTGTCCTTCTGTGATGGGCTTACTTCACGTAGCATAATGTCCTCCATGTCCATCTGTGGTGTTGCAAATGGCAGAATTTCCTTCATTTTAAAGGCTGAATACTATTTCCTTGTGCATATATACCTCATTTTCTTTATCTGTTCATCTGTTGATGGACATTTGGGATTTTTCTGTATCTTGGCTGAACGAGGCAGGGTTTGTACACTGGTCTGCCCTGTTGTTTCAACAGAAGTGTATCCATGGGTCCTTTTTTTGGCTCTGTGTGGCCAATTGCTCTTCTGTGTGCTTCTCCCCATCTTGACAGACAAGGCTTATGGGCCACCTGCTTTGGGGTCTTCGTTGGACATTGAAGCCCCATATGCGCCTGCTCTGTGCTTTCCAGCTGTGCTGCTGATCTCTCTGTGGACTTGCAAGCCCGCTTGTTCTGCATCCTTCACGATGTCCTGCCCAGTGCCTAGTGGGTAGTAGATGTTGTGGAAGGCTGTGATCATCATATAGCTCTAGTTTCGTAAACTTCCAGAAGCTCCTTGTCCTAACTGTACCCATGGTTTTCGGGGGTGGTTGTGAGAATGAACCACATCACGGGTGGAGAGCAC